CTCCAGGGAAGCCAGAGGATGCGTTTACTGCACACGTGCTGACCTCACTCCCAGCTGTCCCCAGCAGGACCCCTGGCTCTCCACCTCCATTGTCTTCACTGTCCAGCCTCCCTGTCCTTCTGTCCCCTAAGCTATCTGCAACCTTGAGGCCCTTTATTCCTACTGTCCCATCTGCCTTCAATTTTTATTGACTTGGCTTGAATGTCACCTCCTCACAGATGCCTCTCAGGACTCCCCAGGTCACTCGCTTGGCACTGTGTCTGATGGTCTTCATAGCACTGTGGCTCTCTGAAATTCCCTGCAGTTTATTTCTGTGCCAGTTCCCTCTCCTGTCCCCACCAGGGGGCCAGCTCCACTGGGGCAGAAACTCCGTCTCTGTGTCTCCAGCATCCAGAACAACAGTAGCCTTGAGTTTTGTCTGTCTTTTTCTTGCAGTGCAGGGTTGAGCCCAGGCCCTAGAGCATGCTCAACATGCCTCCACCACCAAGCTCCACCCGCCATCTTCCATGTCATTTCTTCTCTTTCTTTCTCTCTTCTTCCCCCCAACAAATGGGGTCTCTGTGTTGCCAGGCTCCAGTCATCCTCCCACCTCAGCCTCCAAGGACCGGGGACTATAGGAACACAACACATGCCCGGCTTAAATATGCACTAAACAAATGAACGAGCCGGCTGCAGTGGCCACGCATGTAACCCCAGCAGCTCTGGAGGCTGAGGCAGGAGGATTTCGAGTTCAAAGCCAGCCTCAGCAATTTACAAGGTCCTAAGTAACTCAGTGAGACCCCGTCTCTAAATAAAAAAAACACAGAAGGATAGGGGATGTGTCTCAGCGGTCAAGTGCCCCTGGGTTCATCCCAGTACCAAAAAATAAATGAATCAACTTGGTTTCAGGTGGTCTTTTGGAGAAAGCAGCCTCGAGAGGCCTTTCCAGACCACTTGGTGCTGCTCATCCACTTAAGAACGTGCCCCCAGCTAGGTCCATCCCCTCCCTCACGGCCCTGGGCTCCCCTCCTCCAGCTTCTGCTGGGCTCAGTGACCTGGAGAGGTAGGGGAGAAGAGAGGCACGGGATCTGTTTTCAGTTTCCCACCAGGCCCCACCCTCCCAGTTCCTGTGCTTGATTTCCTCTCATCCTCCGGCTGTTCGGCCTCTGCCCTCAGACTGAGCAGTCACACAGTCCCCCTGGGCAACAGTCCTGCAGTGCTTGTCCGTGCCCCAGGGTTCCCTTGCGCTTACCTCACATCTGCAAAATGTCCCTTCGCTGAATCTCTTTACCTCCCTACGTGTGTGCGTGTGCGTGTGTGTATACGTGTGCTGGGGACATAACTCAGGACACTGTATCATTGAGCCCTTTTTAAAAATTTCCTTTTGAGACAGGGTGTCACTAAGTTGCCCAGGCTGGCCTCAAACTTGGCAATCTTCTGGCCTCAGCCTCTAGAGTCACTGGGATTACAGGTGTGGGTCACCACTTGTTCAGTGATGCCTATTTGAGTGTGACATCTGATTCTTGGCAGGTCCCTGACCAGCGTAGCTCATAGCCCAACAGCTTCAATCATGGAGGCATCTCCCTGGAAAATCTGAATTTCATAGGAATGGGGGTGGTTTTGCTGGCAACCTGGGGGCCCCTCACTGTGTGAAGGATTAGGCTGGGGTGAGAAGCAAGTGGTGGAACCTCACACTGCTGTCTGGAAGGATCTTAGAAACGGTGCTTACTCATCAACAGATGAATGAATAAACAAAATACGTCCATCCATACAATGAAATATGATTCAGCCTGAGGAAGGAGTGAGGTTCTGACACATGCTATACCACGGATGGACCTGAGGACACTAGGCTAACTGAAATCAACTGGTCGCAAAGGTACAAATGTAGGGTTTCACCTACAGGAAGATGTGTGAAGACAGAAAGTAGGATAGAAATTACCAAAAGCTGGTAGAAAGGAAAACAGGGAGTTATTGTTTAATGCACAGGGTTCCATCTGGGGATGATGAAAAGGTGGTGGAGGTAATAATGGTAATTAATAGATGTGCTAATGCGGAAACACCTGGAGAGGTGTACTTAATGGTCAGAATGGTATATCTTACGTTATGAATATTTTGCCTATTATTAAAAAGAAAAAGAAAGGAAGAAAGAAGAAAATCATCTGGACTCAGTTCTCAAGAGCTGAAGATTCTCAGCATGCACCTGCCAAGGCTGAATTATTCAATATGGCCGCCCCAGGAACATGTGGCCCACAAGCACTAAGAAGGCAGCGTGTCTTAACTGAAATGTGCTGTACGTTAAACATACAGCAGATAACACACAGAATGGAAAGTATCTTATTAATGATGTCTTATAGGAATCACCTGTTGAAATGATAGAATTTTGGATGTGTTAACAAACTATATTATTAAAATTAAGAACATGGGCTGGGGCTGGGGCTCAGTGGTAGAGCGCTTGCCTAGCATGTGTGAGGCACTGGGTTCGATTCTCAGCACCACATATAAATAAATGAATAAAATAAAGGTCCATCAACATCTAAAAAAAATTTTAAAAAAGAACATACATATGGGTGGTCAGTGAAAATAATTAAAAAAAATGTTTAGTGGGGGGGAAAAAAAAGAAAGTCAGGCATGATGGTACATGCCTGTAATCCCAGAGACTCAGGAGGCTGAGTCAGGAAGATGGCAAATTTGAGTCTAGCCTCAGCAATTTAGTGAGATTCCATCTCAAAATAAAAACTAAAAAGAGCTAGGAGCCAGCATAGTAGTGTACACCTGTAATGCCAACGGCCCAGGAGGCTAAGGCAGGAGGATCTTGACTTCAAAGCCAGCCCTAGCAATTAAGTGAGGCCCTAAGCAACATGACAAGATCCTGCCTCTAAATAAATATAAAAATAGGACTGGGGATGTGGCTCAGTGGGGTTAAGCACCCCTGGGTTCAATCCCCAGTACAAAAAATAAAAAAAATTAAAAATTAAAATAAGAGGTTGGGGTTGTGGCTCACCCTCAGCAGTATAGCACTTGCCTAGTATATGCAAGGCCCTGGGTTTGATCCTCAGCACCACATAAAAACAAATAAATAAAATAAAGGTATTGTGTCCAACTACAACTAAAAAAAAAATTAAAATAAAAGCTGAACAGACACTTCTCAGAAGATATACAATCAACAAGTATATGAAAAAAATTTAATCTCTAGTAATTAGAGAAATGCAAATAAAAACTTAAGATTTCATCTCACATCAGTCATAATGGCAGTTATAAAAAATATAGACAAATGGGGCTGGGGTTGCGGCTTAATGTAGAGCACTCACCTACCATGCATGAGGCACTGGGTTCGATCCTCTGCACCACATAAAAATAAAATAAAGATATTGTGTACACCTATAACTAAAAAATAAATATTTTTTTTAAAAATACAGACAACAATAAATGTTGGGAAAAGGCACACTGATACATTGCTGGTGGGATTACAAGTTGGTGCAACCAATCTGGGAAGCAGGATGGAGATTCCTTAGAAAACTTGGAATGGAACCACCATTTGACCCAGTTATCCCACTCTTTGGTTTATACCCAAAGGACTTAACATCATCATATTGTAGGAACGCAGCCACATCAATGTTTATAGCAGCTCAATTCACAACTGAGTGTGACAAAACTGTGGAAACAACTTAGATGCCTTTCAATAGATGAGTAGATAAAGAAACTGTGGCATAAACACACAATGGAATATTACTCAGCCTTAAAGAAGAATGAAATTATGGTATTTGCCAGTAAATGGATAGAGTTAGAGAATACCATGCTGCATGAAATAAGCCAATCCCCAAAAAACCAAAGGCTGAATGTTCTCTCTGATAAGTGGATACTGATCCATAATGAGGGTGGGGAGGCATGGGATAAATGGAGGAACCTTGATTGGGCAAAGGGGAGGAAGGAATGGGGTGGGGGCAGGAAAGATGGTGAAATGAGATGGACATCATGACCCGTATATACACGTATGACTACATATATCATGCAACGCAACATCATGTACAACCAGAGAAATGAAAAGTTGTGCAGCAATTGTGTTCAATGAATCAAAATGAATTCTTCTGTCAAATATACCTAATTAAAGTTAATTAATTAATTTTTAAAAAGATTTAAAATAAATATTATTATTTTTAAAAAATACTGGGAAACAGAATAAGGCATTGAAACAAAATTTAAGCTACTACTGAAAACACATCCGCATAGAACAATAAACATGGGTTAGAAATGCAGTCAAGTAAAATGATACATGTTAAATTCCATATAGTGGCTGGTGGGGGAGGGCGGCTGGAAAGTAGAGGGGAGTGGGGGATGGGAATGAAAAGGGAATAAATAAGAAAGTGTTTTGTGCTAACAATGAAGACTTGTGCAGGAACTGCAGATCATTAACTCAACCCTGTTCCTGAGGTTAAAAAAAAAAGAAAGAAAGAAAGAAGGAAAAGAAAAGCCTAGCTCAGTGGCACCTACCTGTCCTCCCAGCTCCTGGGGAGGCTGAAGTAGGAAGACTGCAGCCCAGGAATTGAGGGCCACCTGGGCCATGTCAACAAGACCCCATCTCAAGAAACAAAATACAAGCTAGGTGCAGTGGCTCCTGCTTGTAATCCCAGTTACTCAGGAGGCTGAGGCAGGAGGATTGCAAATTTAAGGGCAGTTGGGGCAATTTAGGGAGGCCCTGTCTCAATACAAAAAATTAAAAGGGCTGAGAATGTAGGTAAGTAGTACAGTGTGACCCTGGGTTCAATTCCCAGCAGCCCCTCAGCTCATCAAAAAAAAAAAAAAAAGAAAAAAAGAAAGAAAGAAAGAAAAGAAAAAAGAAACAAAAGGATCCTAAATTGGTCCTGGAAAGTAACCCAGAATCTCTGACCCCTCAAAAATATTTCCTGCCAGGCGTGGTGGCACCTGCCTGTAATCCCAGCCACTTAGGAGGCTAAGAGACAGGAGGATCTTGATTTCAAAGCCAGCCTCAGCAACTTAGCAAGGCCCTAAGCAACTCAGTGAGACCCTGTCTCTAAATAAAAACAAAAAGGGCTGGGATGTGGCTCAGTGGTCAAGCACCCCTGAGATCAATCTGTAGCGCACCCCCCCACACACACACACATGGAATCAGAACCTCTGACAGCGTGTTATCCCTTGGCCAGACAGAGCTGAGGTACAAATGGCCCCTGCCCTGCCCCACATGCCCATCCTTCCTCTGCACTAAGTACTGGGCCCACAGACATTGAGTGTGAGACCCTGGTCTAGGTTGCTTCTCGGGTCTTCATCTAGGGGACAGACCTCCCAGAGCAGCCAGAACAACAGCTATCTGCCTCCGCGCGGGGTGAGGACAAGCATCTCACTATCCCAACACCTGGCACCGAGAAGCACATGTCCGCTGACTTGATTCCTGAGAATCTGAATTTCACATGAGAAGGGCTGAATGGGGCTCCACCGTGGTGCACAGACACGAGGGAGAACTGGCCCAGATCTTAACTCGCTGTCGCCCACCTGTTTGGACTTGGGTAAATTACTTTACCTCTTTATATCTATTTATCCATCTATAAGATGGGAATGATTAATAGTGCCTACCTAATAGGGTTGTTGTGATGATTCCATGAATTAATACACAATTGTCTCCTCTTATCTGCTAGGGATATGCTCCAGGACCCCCGGTGACACCCCAGACTGCAGATGGTACCAAACCCTATAGATACTATATTTTTCTAAACCTTTCGACTTTGCACTTAAAGGAAGCACTTTGCAGATTCTCTGTGGCACATCCTAATTGCCAGCATCATGGATCTCAAGCTCTGCAGCCATTACTGAGTAAAATAGGGGTCACCTGAACAAAGACCCTATGACACTATGATTCAGAAACTGTCAATCTGATGCCCAAGACAGCTACCACGTGACTAACAGGCATAGTGTACACACAGCATGGATACTCTGGAAAAACGAATGATGCACTTCCAAGATCAGGAAGTAGGAGATGCTGCATGTCATCACATGGCTCAGAACAACACTCAGAGTAAAACTCAAGAGCTGTGGCTGTGGCTTAGTGGTAGAGCACTTGCCTAGCAAGTGTGAAGTACTGGGTTCGATTCTCAGCTCAGTAGTGGAGCACTTTTCTAGCATCCTCAAGGCCCTGGACTTAACCCCCAGCACTGTAGAAATAAATAAATCTCATGAATTGTTTATTTCTGGAATTTTCCATTTAATATTTTTTGGACTGTGATTGACAGTGGTTAATTGAAACCATGGAAAGTGAAGCTGCAAATAATTTTTTAATTATATTAATAATATTATGGTTGAAAGTACAAGAGACAGAGAGATTCTGATTCACATACCAAGTCTCCTCTCCACTTTCCTAGTACTGATGGGTGTACGTCCAGTGCTCAGACTATGGGCTGGGGATACCATACTTATGATGTCCTCACACTGAGCTTTCCTGTCAGATACAGCACTACCACCAGTAGAAGGAACTCCCAGCCCTGGCAGCTGACCAATCTTCTCTTGCCCCCATGACTTTCCTGAGCCACCATTTAGTTATAACAGGGATAGCAAGTTGACTTACAGCTTCTTCATGATTGTCTTCTCCTCCTTGTCACTGTTGGCATTGCAGGCTCTGGTAACCACAGTATCGTTTCTTCTTCTTCCCCCTGGGCCTTCTCTTGGTGCAATCAGGCCACTGAGGAAAGGGGGACAAATAAATAGATTGTTTTTTATTTTTTATCTCTGCAGCTTGAAAGTGAAAGGTCTTAATAATTATTCCTATAATAGTAATATTAGGGTTGAAAGTAATTGAATCCGAGATATTTTGATTGAAATACTGAGAATCTTCTCTCCATCTTTCCAGACTCTTATTTCTTTCTCTTGTCTAATGGCATGGCATTGGCTAGTATTTCAAGCTTCTGTATTTTCTAGGAATGTGACCATGTATAAATTGTCTAACTTATGCCATGTTTTCCCAACCTATAAAATGAAGATAACAGTACCTACCTCATAAGATTGGGGGATTAAATGAGAAAGTATATGCTGTCTGGCATCATTTATTAATTAATACAACAAATAATTATAAACTCATCTACTGTGCCAGGACATTATAAATACAACTGTACTTCTATATTCCCAGGTTCTACATGAAGGGATTTAACCAATCATGGATCAAAAATATATCTTTTAAAAAATTGCATCTGTCAGGTATAGTGGCACATGGTTGTAATTCTAACTACTAGGGAGGCCCAGATGGGAAAATCATAAGTTCAAGACCAGCCTTAGCAACATACTAAGAGTCCAACTCATAAAGGGGGAGAAGGGGCTGGGGATGCAGTTCAGTAGTAATGCACTTCCCTACCTAGTACAAGGTCAAAAGTTCAATCCCCAGGGCTAGGGATGTGGCTCAAGGGTTAGGGTTAGGGGTAGGGGTAGGGGTAGGGGTATCGCGCTCGCCTGGCATGCGTGAGGCCCAGGTTAGATCCTCAGCACCACATACAAACAGAGATGTTGTGTCCACCGAAAAACTAAAAAATAAATATTAAAAATTCTCGCTAGCCTCAAAAAAAAAAAAAAAAAGTTCAATCCCCAGTACTGAAAAAAGTAATCAATTCTAAGGGATGTAGCTCAGTAGTAGGCTGCAGGCTTATTAAGTGTGAGGTACTGGGTTCAATTTCTGGCAAAATATAAAATAATAATGAACTCGTACAGATTTTTTTCTTGCCATTGTTCCCTAAATAATAACTATTTACCTAGCACTTACATTGCATTAGGTATTGTCAGTCATGTAGAGTTGACTTAAAGTGCACAGGAGGATGTGAGGAGGGCATAAGCAAATAGTGAACCATTTAAGGGACTAGAGTATCTGAAGATTTTGGTATTCACATGATTTTGGTCATGGAACCAAGCCCCTACAGATAGCAAGGAGAATGGTATGATCTAGACAAAACAGACAAAGTATCAGCTCTCATGCCATTTGTATTTCACTGGGGAAGGAAGAAGAAAACAGTCAATAAATGAAGAAATATGTAAACTAAAAATATAGAATAGGGCCTAGGGTATGTAGCTCAATGGTACTGCACTTGCCTAGCTTTGAGACCCTTGGTCAATCCCCAGCACCACACACACACACACACACACACACACACACACAAACAGTTGAGACAGGAAGATCGTAAATTCAAGGCCAGCCTCAGCAACTTAGTGGGGTCCTATGCAACTTAGCAAGACCGTCTCAAAATAAAAATTTTAAAAAGGGCTGGGATATAGCTCAGTGGTTAAGCATCCCTGGGTTCAATCCCTGGTATATCCCACCAAAAAAAAAAATGTGTATGTATGTATGTATGTATATATACACACACACACACACAGTAAGTAAGATGGTGATAAAAGCTAGATGGTTACTGATTAATCAATAAGACACTGAGGCCAGGAGAAGTCTGGCTCAAAGACAGGCGGAGCATTTCTCTGGACATCCAGCACACAAGGGGGAGGAAGGCCATTCTCTCTCGCTCATCCAACTGGGATTTATGCCAGAAGCCACGTTTCTTGAAATTCGCAGAAGTCCCTCTGAAAAAGCCAAGAGGAGAAGGAAGGAGCAGCCCTTGGCTGCAATTTTAATTCCTGGACCTATTCCAGGACCCCCCTTAATTATATGACCCAAGAAAGTTCCCTTTTGTCTTGATGCTAGTTTAAACTGGGTTCCTATCAGTTGTGACCTAAAGAAGGTTGTTCATTCAGGGGGCTGGGGATGTGGCTCAAGCGGTAGGGCGCTTTCCTGGCATGCGTGCGGACCAGGTTCGAGCCTCAGCACCACATACAAACAAGAATGTTGTGTCCGCCAATAACTAAAAAATATTAAAATTCTAAAAAAAAAAAAAAAGAAGGTTGTTCATGATGACACGTGTCAGCGTGTGAACTGCACAGCGCACGGCATTCATGTGGCATTCTGAGGGGTACCTGATGCTAGACCACACTTTGTCCCTGAAAAATTTCTACCTGAAAGTCCTAGTCCTTCTTGGTGGTAATTGCCAATTAGGTATAAATGAGGTCCCAAGGGTGGGGCCCACATGATGGATTAATGTCTTTATTTTGGGTGGGGGTTACCGAACCCAGGGGTGCTTTATACTGAGCTACATCCCCAGAGCTTTAAATGTTTTATTCTGAGAAGGGCTTTGCTAAATTGCTGAGGCTAGCCTCAAACTTGCCATTCTCCTGCCTCAGTCTCCTATGTAGCTGGGATTACAGGGGTGTGTATCCTGCCTGGCTGGATGAGTGTCTTTGTGCTCTGTCTCCCGGGCCATGTGAGGACTCCTGTGAAGCCAGCTGTCTACCAGTTCAGTCCTTACCAGAAATTGACCATGCTGGCACCATGATCCTGCACTTCCACCCTCTAGGACTGCGAGAAAAGAAATTTCTGTGGTGAAAGCCCAGCAGTTGGTGGTATTTTGTTATAGCAGCTGGAGATGACTGATACATCACTTTCAGTGTGAGTCACAGGGCAGAGTCATCCTCCCTACTCCTTTATGAAAGGGTTTTCAATAGGTGAGCTCTTATTGTTTAATGTTATTATTTTTATTTTATTTATTTTAATGTTAGGATTATTTCATAGTCGGCATCATCTAAAAACTCCCTTTTGGGCTAGGGGTGCAGTTCATTGATAGAGCGTGTGCTTAACATGGACAAGGCTCTGGGTTCAATCCCTAGTGCCAAAAGCAAACAAATAAAAATAAATAAAATGCCCTTTTTCAGATGGATAGGGTTGCACGTGCCTGTAACTCCAACTACTTGGGGAAGCTGAGCAAGAGGATCCCAAGTTTGAGGCCATTCAGGGCAACTTAGTGAGAACCTGTCACAAAATTAAAAGGTTTGGGGATGTATGTAGCTCAGAGAGGGGTAGAGTACCTATAGATTCTATTCCCAGTACTTAAAAGAAAAAAAAAACCTTTTTCTTTTATCTATCATGACATGAATAAAATGCACTTACATCAAATAATGATTTACAGACTCTCTGGCCCTACCTCTGCTGATTAGCATGGTAGTTCTCTGCTAATCTAGTCTGATGATATCACTTGGCTGTGTCCAAGGGCTGGGCACAGTGGGTATCAGTGGGCAACCTGGTCCTTTCCCTGTGACTACCCTGGGCATCCTCAGCACATGGTGGTCTGAAGACAGCACTCCAAGCAGGCAAAACAGAAGCCCCAACATAAGGTGCCAGACGGCATCCCTTCTGCCCTATTCCACTGGTCACAGCAAGTCACAGGGCCAGCCCAGATTCAAGGAGAGGGAATACAGACTCCACTTCTGTGTGTGTATGGTATAGGGGATTGAACCCAGTGTCCCCAGCATACTCTACCACTGAGCTCCATCCCCAGCCCTTTTTAAAATTTTAAGACATGGTCTAAATAAGTTGCTGAGGTTGGCCTCAAACCTTCAATCTTCCTGTCTCAGCCTCCTGCTCCTGCATTGTTGGGATCAGAGGTGTGCACCTTCACACCTGAACAGACTCCACTTCTTCCTGAGTTTCACCGCTAAAGGCATGCAGGATGGGAAATACCGACCGATGTGGCCATCTTTGGAAACAACCTACCGAATTTCTCTTTCATCTCAAATTATTGTCATTACACTGTAAGTTTGGACATGCAAATTGATGCAGTTGCTAAGAGAACATCTCAGTTGGCATTATGTTTTCTCTGGAAATTATATCACTAGTGACTAAGCAGAATCCTGTTTCTGTGTGTGTCTGCATGTTTCTTGTTCTCTGGGAATCTAAACCTGGAAATAAAGGATGTCACTTTGTTCACTAACAAGCTGCTCCCAACCCTGTCAGCTTGGCAGCTTCTCTTTTTAACTACCTGTGTCTGAACTGTTTAATTAAGTGAGATGAAGGCAGCTCTTTCCACTGGATATGGTGGCACACACCTGTAATTCCAGTAACTCTCAAGGCTGAGGCAGGAGGACTGAAAATTGGAGGTCAGCCTCAGCAATTTAGCCAGACCCTGACTTAAAATAAAAGTAAAAGCAGGTGCCATGGTGTATACCTGTAATCACAGCAGCTCAGGAGGCTGAGGCAGAAGGATCATGAGTTCAAAGCCAGCCTCAGCAACTTAGCAAGGCTGTCAGCAACTCAGTGAAACCCTGTCTTAAAATTAAAAAATGAAAGGGGCTAAGTGGTTAACTTAGTTCAATCCTGAGTTCAATCC